TCTATCAATGACATCATGTTAATCAGACCATATGAGTCAGAAATGGCAAGTGCATCAGAGACCTTGGTAAGACACATGCACTCCAGAGGGTGGAAAATAACCCATATATTGATCCCCTCCTGCATCCCTAAAGGTTTCACAGGTACATTAATTCAGAGCATGCCAGGGCATGCCAGGATAACACTTCCAAAGTAAAAGTCAGATTATTGCCCTTTGGCCCTTTCACCTGGTAGTCCACACTTTGATTCATTTACTAAGGGATAGAGAAAGCTGCTGATTTTGAAGGGGACCCAGAATAAGAAAGGGCTCTGCAGCAGGTGCACAATGCTGAGTAAGCAGCCCTGTCCTATGGCCATGTGCTCCAGCACACCCTTCGATATTAGAGCTATCTGTAGTGGGAAATAGTGCCATGTGGTGTTTATGGCAATCCCCAGTAGGAGAAACACAATTTATAACACCTGTGTTCCGATGCAAGGCCATGCCATCTGCATCAGAGAATTATATGCCATTCAAAACACAACTCCTACTTGGTGGTAGTGGAGGTCAAACTCCTGATCATGAGATATCAAAAGATGGTGGGGATAGCGATGCTCATCATGATCTAGGTTCTGAAAGGCCCATTAAGTGATAAGGTTGAGTGGGTCCAACACAATTCATCAGAATATGGAAGTGTTGTACCCAGATTGAGCACAGATCAAATCTAGAGAGTACAAGTGAGCTGATGGCCCAGCCCCATGTCAACCACCTCTGGTGCACCAACTAGCAAAGGAAGGAAAAGGCCAATCTTGGTTCCCCAGTGGTTTTTGTGGTGAAAGCTGAAAACCGACTGTAGCTACACTGCAATCTCAATCAGCGGTGGTATATACATTATACTCCTTCCTTTGTGATGGGGAGAGTAATTCATCTTCACTAGAATCAGCACATATTCTAGATACAGGCTTGCATTTCTTACCTGCAGGACTTCAGCCAGCATGAGTCGACAAGGGCTTATGGAGTATTTGATCCACAAACCCAGGATCCCACATGTTATGTATTAAATTGTGTCCCCTCAAAATTCATCTGTTCAAGTGTTGATCCCAGCAGCTCAGAATATGACCTTATTTGAAAATAGGCTTGTTGAAGATGTAATTAGTTAAGATGAGATCATACTGGAGGGGGGTGGGCTCCTAATCCAATATGTCTGGTATCCTTATAAAAAGGGGCAATTCGGAACACAGACATACACACATGAAGAATGATCTATGAAGGCAAAGGAGAATCAGGGTAGTGCTTCTACAACCAAAGAAACTTCAAAGATTGCCAGCAAACCACCAGATTCTCACAGCCCTAGCAAACTAAATACATCACATCAGATAAGTGACCAAATTTGTAGCAAAAGCGTTACAAACCATAGGATTTTCTGGTTTTATCAAATACAGCATCACCTGGAAGCTGCCAGCCTGAGAAATTCGTGCTACAGCCTCTTATAGATGCAGCTGTGGTACAGCTTGAAGATCTATCTTGAGAAATGAGTCACCACCCACCAGGATTTAGCATACATCCTGAATGAGCGACCACTGTATGTTGTGCGCCCACAGGTGGAATATATAGGTCTGGAAATCAAGAGGTGGAAGTAAGAGTGGAAATCAAGAGGTGAATGTAGGAGTGACCCTGTTTACCATCACTCATATTAAATCAGTTGCCATTCTTGGTGTCCCATAGCCACAATGCAAGGTTCTGCAGGTTCGGAGATCCTAGATGGATCTCAGTAAGGATCCTTCTAGGATCCATGACGGAGTTCAGTAAGAATCCCATGACCAGCAATGACTGGTCTTTTCAGACCTCTTTTGTCGAGAGATCAACAGGCAAGAAAAAGAGTCATTCTCCTGATTATCAAAGGGAAATAGGACTGCTGTTACACAGTGTGGGTAGGAAGAATATATTTGGCACCCAAGTGTTCTACTAGGACATCTCTTGGTCCAATTTTGACAGTGCATGGACAAATGTAGATGCCACAAACTGAGAAAAGCCTCATAACCAAGGGTTCAAAATCCTCAAGGCTGAAGGTCTGAATAACTGCATTAGCTAAGCCACCTAAACAACAGAGGTGCCAGGGTAAGAGGAATCAAGAATGGGTAGTATGCCCTGGCCGGTTTGGCTCAGCAGTTAGAGTGTTGACCTGCAGTCCAGAGAGACTCGGGTTCGGTTCCCGCTAAGGGCGTGTACCTCGGTTGCAGTTTGTCCCCAGCCCTGATTGGTTGTGCAGGTGGCAGCCACTCAGTGTGTCTTTCATGTCTATGTTTCTCTCTCTCCCTCCCACTCTATCTGAAAAAAAATGGAAAAATGTCCTCCGGTGAGGATTAAAAAAAAAAAAAGAATGGGTAGTAAAGGGAGATCATGAGTATCCAGCTGCCATCCCAAGACCAGATGCAGTGATGGGGGGTGAGGGGTTAGTTGCCCACTGAATTTCCCTCTTGCCTGTTTTTTCAGGAAAAAAATCCTGGAGAATCTTTTCCCAGATGCAGTGAACTTTTTATACAAAGCAAGTAGATTCAAGTGGTGCAAGATGTGGATTGCAGTGGAGGCCGGGGTGCGCTGCCCTGATCCCTCCTCAGGACTAGAGCGCTCACTTCCCCGGCTGGGGAGCACGCCTGCTGAAGGCCTGCAGCTGGGACGACTTGTCTCCAGCCAGAGGTAGGTGCCTCACCTGAGGTTGTCCCCGAGAATCATGTCCAATTATTTTTTTTATAAATTTTATACCTTCTTTTACCTTTCTGTAGTTTGACTTTTTAAAATACCTTTGTTTTATTTTCTTATCCTTAAATCATCTCTTTTTCTTCTGATTTCCTTTTTTCTCTTTTTTGCCTTCACACTAGAGGATTCGTCAAATATTTGATACTCCCTCAGCTATCCGTCCAAATGCAAATGTGAGACATTGAAAAGCTGACTGGAGCCCGGCTGGTGTGGCTCAGTGGTTCAGCATCGACCCATGCACCAAGAGGTCGCTGGTTCGATTCCTGGTCAGGGCACATGCCCAGGTTGTGGGCTCGATTCCCAGTACGGGCATGAAGGAGGCAGCCAATCGATGTTCTTTCTCATTGATGTTTCAATCTCTCTCTCCCTCTCTCTCTAAAAATTAATAAAGAAAAAAAAATAAAGCTGACTGTAGGCTCTGTGGGGCTATAGCATCTGAACAGATTGACTCTGGGGCTGTCAGAGGTGATCAGTCCATTGGAGGAATCTTCCTATGATCTCCCATTTCACTATATGTATTTTTTTTCATTCATTCTCCTGTACACTTGAGAGGTGGGTGGGTTGTATGTAAGGGTTCCTAGGTTTGGTAGTGGGCTAAGGGTGTCAACATGTAGAATTGATAATCTTTCTGATTTCTGGGTGCCATTCCTTGCCTTAGCTATGCCTGAGCCCAGAGTCCCACTGTGTCAATGCCTTCAGAGCGTAAACCCCCATTCTCCCTAAAGTGAGTTAAGAGTGGTTTTCAGGCTGCATAGAAATGGAGGAAATGGAGGGAAAAAGCTGGTTACCAAGATTTTCAGTCAGTCCTCCTACTTCAGCCATCCTAGGTGCCAGCTGCAGAGCTACTTGCTGCCTACGGTTTTTGAGCCCTTCTGAACTGAGCCACAGGAATTGCCTTGTGCCTTAGTTTCCCTTTGCCTAACTTCTCTTTCAGACCTCTACTCTGCTGAGTCACTTGCCTGTCACTAGTCCATCATTTTTCTCGCTTCCACCCATTCTCTTGTCACCCTGTATGTTGATGCCCCTTCCCCCCTTTATTTAGTGGGATTTCAAGAGAGATCAGAGTGAAAGACAGGTGTTTAATCCTCTATATTTAATTAGAAGAGGTTAACCTATTTTACAAATGGAGAAACTGAGGCCCAGGACAGGATAACCTATTTTACAAATGAAGAAACTGAGGCCCAGGACAGGATAATGACTTGTCCCAGGTCATACAGCTTAACTAGGCTTAAAGTAAGGTCTCTAGTCCCCAGGCCAATGTTCTTTGTAAAAAAAAAAAAACAAAACAAAAACAAAAAGGTGTAAAAACAGGAAGAATGTAGAAATTCAGTAGGGTGGTTTGGGGCAGAGGGGGCATTTAAAAAAAGAGAGTGCTGGTGACAGTGGCCTGAGAGAAAATGAAAATAGATGTCCGGAAAAAAGAAAGGAAATATTTTTATCCTTGGGTTTTCTGTCCTCTTACATTTCACTGTCTTCAAATTCCTTCAAGATATTTATTGTCTTAGGGACCCTCTCTGTGTTTACCACTATCCTATTTCAGACTCCCCACTATTTCTATGCTGTGCTCCGTTCTTTTCCAGCAATGCATAGTATCTTAAAAATGTGATTCTACTCAAACTGCCCATATCCTCAAATGCTTGCAATGACTTCCATTGCCCATGGGGTAAAGTCCAACTCCCTTCGTTATTTCAATAACCCTATTTATTGAACTGGTCAGGGAGAGGGGTTAAGAAGGAAACGTGGTGGGAAGGGATGGGAACAACTTGACAAAAGAAGGGACACTGAGTGTTGGTGACAGGGAGAACAGAGGTTGAAGAAGACTAAGGTGATGAGCTCAGGTGACTGGGGCAAATTAGAATAGAAAAGTCAGAGATGCTGATGAGCTTGGTTTTAAACATGTAGAAATGGCACGGTGAGAGCCGTGCAGAAATGCCTAGCAGACAGAGGGAAATAAGGAGTGAAAGATGTAGCCATGCAAATCAAGATCCCAGGACTGGCAAGTTCTTACATGCATCCCAATCCAATGCCAAGAAGTGAGAGAATATGATCACTCCAAGGGTCACAAAAGCAAAGGCAATCTCTTTAGGTTGGGAATATTAGGTGGCTTTAAGTAGGAGAGAAGAAAGAATCCCAGGGCATGAGTGTATCAATATTTTTTATTTATTAAATGCTCTTAAGGTTGTTAAAACTGAAGCATATCTAAAACATAATAGCCTAATCCCTACAGTGCTGTGGATAATTACATGTGTTTCCTGTTGTTGCTGTAATAGATCTACAAACTTAGTGTCTTAAAACAACACAAATTTACTATAGTGCAATTCTGTGGGTCAGAAGTTTAAAATCAGTCTCACTGGACTAAAGTCATGTGTAAGCAGAGATGTTCCTCTGGAGGTTCTGCTTCTTTGCCTTTATGAGCATCTAGAAGCTGCCTGAATTCCTTGGCTCGTGGCTCCTTCCTCCATCTTCAAAGCACATCACTCCAACCTCTTGTTCCATCATTATCTCTCCTTCTTTTCCTGACTTTGATCCTCTTGCCTCCCTCCTATAATGACCCTTGGGATTACATTGGGCCCATCTTAATAATGCAGAATAATCTCCCCATCTCAAGATGCTTAGTTTAAGCACATCTGCAAAGTCCCTTTTTCCATGTAAAGCAACATATTCACAGGTTCTGGAGATTGGGATATGGACATCCTTGGGGGACCATTATTCAGCCTATACAATACCTTTCTAATAACACTCATGACCTTCAGTTCCTGTGGAGATACAGTCTATATATTGATACCAATGAATAGGTAAGTGAATGGATGGACAAACACCTTTTAGTTATTAAACAAATGTTTATTATTGGTTTATTATCTGCTAGGTCACGTTTTAGACTATCTACAAAGGAAGTCCAGGAAACCAGTCTACAAACTTGACTTTGCTTGGTCTCAAAGCAAATTCTTTGTCATATTAAAATGTCAGCTCGTTCATTGAATACCATGAAAGTAAGACAATAGGAGAAGAAAAGACTATTTTCATCATTCTATTTAAAGGTATCTGCGTATAATAAAGGCCCATAGAGCAGCAACACAGACAAAGCCCCACATGAACAAGTTATCTGGGCCATGAAAATTATTTGGTGGCATTGAAGATCTGGAAAAGCCATCTGGAGGAGGCCCTCTGGGTGAACACCTCTCCTGCCTTCTCAGAAGAGCATGAATTTCATTGCAGGTGTCAGATCCACGTGTAGTTGTGGGGCCTACTCTCCGTGTGGGCTGTGGGTCTGTTCCCCTTGGGGCCTGAAGTCCTGCCTCTTGTGTGGCTTGTGAAAGTATCTCCTGTTTTGACTGTTGGCTGGCACACCTTACAGCCTGAGAGTACGTCTTCTGGGGGGTTTGTGGTCCTGTTCCCAGGGCAGACAGTGAATTTGCAGATGGTGAAGGTAATGAACCTACTGCTTGTGTGGGCTGTCGGTTTGTGCACCCTGGGGGATGAGATTTTGTTACTTGGGTGGGCTGTGGCTTTGTTCTGCGTGCAGCCTGCTGGTCTGCCCCTGGTGTGGGCTGTTGGCCTGTCTCTTGTTTGGGCCGAGGGCCTGTCCTAGGCAGTTGGGTTCCAGCAGTGGCATGGCTGGGCCCTGACCTCTTATGCTCACAGGAATTCCCTCTCCTCTGAGCCTTCTCTGCCTTGGCTGACTGGTTCATGGCTTGGTTTTGGCTGCACATGTCACCACTGTGAGGCAAGGAGCTCCGAAACTCCATGTAGGGGAAAGGAGATTTGGATGGTGTTGTGCAGTTTTGTAAGCTCTGTGCACAGAAGCCCAGAATGCACGCCTCACAATTGGCCATGTCATGGGACCCTTCCAAAGGCACCTCCGGGATCACCGGGATCTCCGCGAACTTCCTGATGCCGTTCTCGTAGCATCTCTCCTGAATACGCCGCACCAGGTTGTTCAAAATCCTCATGGCACTATCTAAGGAGAACTCAGGCTTCTCAAAGTGAGACTTGGAACACTTCTTGCACCTCTGAGCAAAGAGCCTCATAAGCACCTGGCCCTGGGACTTCCGGCGCTCCAAGTACATGTGACATAGGATCTGCACTTTGGCGGAAGCCCAACTTCGCTTGCATGAGGAACATCGAAACCTGCAGACAGAAGGAAAAGTCTATTGTTCCTTTACTGACAGCTGACCTCAGGGAAATGGTCCTGCCTTGGTCTCTAAGATCCCTTTCAATTTGAAAAAGTGCTTGTGATATTGACAAATTGACAAATAAAAATAAGAGAAACTATGTTTCAAATAAAGCTTTAGCCTGGCCAGTGTGGCTCAGAGGTTGAGCATCGACCCATGTACCAAGAAGTCATCGGTTCAACTCCCGGTCAGGGCACACGCCCAGGTTGTGGGCCTGATCCCCGGGGGGCATGCAGGAGGCGGCCAATCGATGTTCTCTCTCATCGATGTTTCTATCTCTCTTTCCCTCTCCCTTCCTTTCTCTCTAAAAATCAATAAAGAAAAAAAAAATCAAATAAAGCTTTATCCTGTGACCCACTGAGCTTCCACCATTGTTCCGAATCTGCGTCTTGGCCTGTAAAACATCTTTGGACATCTCAGAGGGGAAAATCATTTTTGCCACTTGCCAGCAAAATTTGGTCCTCACAATGGTCACAGAAAACTCCTAAAAGGTACTGCAACCCCCCCCTTTTCCGTGGGGTATATGTGACCCTCCTCCCACAGTGGATGCCTGAAACTGTGGAAGGTACCGACCCCTATATATACTTTTTTCCTATAGTACATACCTATGATACAGTTTAACTTATCAATTAGTCACAGTAAAAGATTACCAAGAATAACTAATAATAAAATAGAACAATTATAACAATAGTCTCTAGTAATTTATATATTTTTCAACTCAAATCTACTCCTGAATTTGTGTAACCATCCCTTACTTGCAGTAAATGGTGTGGTGTCCCTTGTTTCAGGGATCCCTTGCTGGAGTCTTTCTATAGGCTCGATGCTTTCTGGAATACATTTTCTGTTTATGTCTTCCACCCACAAATGCAATGTCTTTTTCATACAACTTAGCACTTACGCACAGTGGTCCAAAGTTTTGCTGTCTGAGGTGCGGCAGCAAAACTAGCACACATTTCTTCTTCCTTCTTCACAATTTCATGGATAGAAGACTCATTCTTACTGTAAGTCAGAGCAACCTCAGTATATAATTTGTTTCTTTCCTTAATAAGTCAAGAAGTTTCACCTTTTCACTTAAAGGAAGCACCTTGCAGTTTCTCTTTGGCGTATCCAAATTGCCAGTGTCACTACCCTGTGCTTTGAGGCCATTATTAAGAAATATAAGGGTGACTTGAACACAGGCACTATGATACCATGACAGCCTATCTGATAACCGAGACGGCTACCATGTGAATGACAGGTGGGGAGCAGGTACAGTGTGGAGACGCTGGACAAAGGGACAAGTCACACCCTGGGCGGGTTGGAGTGGGACTTCACAAGATTTTATCGTGCTACTCAGGACAGCATATGATTTAAAACTAGTGAATTGTTTACTTCTGGAATTGACCGTTGAACATTTGAACCATAGTTGACTGTGTTGAACTAAAACCACAGAAAGTGACACTGTTGCATAAGGGGGGACTACTGTACCTATTTTGAAGCAGACACTGTCATTGGTGCTTTGCAATGTTATACTATTTATCCTTTAATTTTTTTTATTTCATAGCAGAGAGAGGAAGGGAGCCCGATATCCATATGAGAAAACTGAGTCGTAGGGGATGACAACTCGCTCAAGAACAGACAAGGTAAGTAGCAGTAGGAGTCGTGTTTTAGACCCCGGCCGTTCGAAGCCAGCCTTGTTGATTTACCTCCTGTGCCACGTGGCCTCGAATGAGCAACTCGGCCTGTCCTACACACAGGAATTTGACTTAGGGCCTGGGGCCACGACACTTGGGTTGGAGACCCCGGTCCATAGTTTACATCAAGGGTGCCTTGGAAAAAAAGCAGTTTACTACTCAAAGCCTCAATTTTTATATCCAACGAATTAAAAATATTAAAAGTGTGTATTGTCATCATTAAATGAGATGGTACATATGAAAGCACTCTGTAAGCTACAAAACACTTTTCAAAAACCGGTCGATAGTTTTCAGAAGGCGTGATGGTAAGTTGCTTTTCCTATCTCAGAATGACTATCGAGTCAATTCTTCTGAACAAGAGAAGCCCCTCCGTTAGGGGAGTGCCTCAAGGAGCTCTGGCGGTGCTGAGAGACACATGGCTGGCTGGCTGCCTTAAAAGCAGAGCAGAATAACTGCTACAGGGGCTCGGGCCAATGCCTTGAAAACTGTTCTGTAGCCCAGCTGGTGTGGCTCACTGGTTGAGCATCGACCTACGCACCAAGAGGTGGCTGGTTCGATTCCCAGTCAGGGCACATGCCCAGGTTGTGGGCCAAATTCCCCGTCGGGGAGCATGCAGAAGGCAACCAATCCATGTTCTCTCTCGTCAATGTTTCTATCTCTCTTTCCCTCTGCATTCCTCTCTCTCTAAAATCAATAAAGAAAACAAACTAAAGAAAATAAAACTGTTCTGCAGAGTCTCAGAGGTTTCATTTAAATAATGGGTTCTGCCACTAAAAATATATATATTTAATATATTCTATATCTCATATATGTTCTATAACATGTGATATATAAATATATGCTATTGAAAATGTATTATAAATAATACATGCAAATATATATATATATATGCGCATTATTGCATGGGAATGGAGAAGGAACCCTTGCTCTCTACCTAGTAAGACCAGAAAATACTTTAAGAAGAAGGTGGCACTTGAGTTGGTCCTTAAAGGATGAATAAGGGGGGTAGAAGAAAAACACCTGCCAAGCAAGCAGACATTACGGACCAGGGAACAGAAGTCCAAATGCATAGCATGGCAGATCATTCTGAGGGAATGGGGCAGAGACCACCTGAGGCAAGGTAGGAGCAGGCAAGGAAGCAGGGTAACAGGTGAGGAGGAAAGTAGAGTAAAGGTCCCTGGGTACCATATAAAAATAAAAAACTAAAATAAAGTCTATTTTCCAGGCCAGCAATTCTCACCCTCCTGACATAGGCAAGGACACTGGTTCCTGCAACTTGGAGGCTCGCTGGAGGTTAACGAGGGAGATGGCCAGTAGGACAGAGGCATTACTTAGGGAACCCAGGGGCTAGGGCTTAAATTTCCTTCTTGAAGCATTATTCCCTTTTATTATCCCCAGGCCTTGAGCGAAGCAATATTCAAAGTGATTGCTTGGCATTCATCAATTCTTGGGGCTTTCAAGGAAGGCCCTGCCCCAGGCTGGTACTGGAAGGGGCCTGCAGGGCAGCCGCAGCCTGGAGCAGCCCGTCAGGACTGACTCAGGAGGCCGCAGGAGGTCGTCTGGAGCAAAGGAGGTGGTGAGGGCACCGGAGGACCGATTTATGGGACATGGAAGCATTCTTCGGGGAATTCCAAAAATATTCATAGAGGGAAACTAGTAAAAGAAGGCACTTCCTGTAGTTAAGCAAAATGGAGGCTTGAAGTCTTATTTATTTATTTATTTATTTACTTATTTACTTATTTATGTATGTATTTATCTATCTACCTATTTATTTATTTTTATTAATTATTTTATTTTTGTTGCAGGTATTTCTCCTTTTTCCCCCACTGACACGCTCCTCCTGACCCCACCCCCCACAGCATTGTTTATGTTCATTGTTTGGGCTTATATGCAAATAAGTCCTTTGGTTTATCTCTATGAAGTCTTATTTAGCTCCTAAAGAACACTGTGACCACGAAAAGATGGAAAGCCTGGAGACATTTATTCTTTTAACGAGCTCTCAAAGGCATCAATCAGTGCTAAGCGGAGCCCCTTTGCCTAGGAAAGCCCACTGCCCGGACAGCTCTCACCTACCTGCCGAACGCCTTCTGCTGGTACTGCTTCCACCCTTGGGCCACAGAGTCTGGCTTAAGAGTCTCATCCAGCTTCAGACACCACCTGTCCCGGGGTTTCACCTCTTGCATCAGTTCTTGAAGTGTTTGCTCCCATGTCCCAAAATCCAAAAACATTTTCTCTTTAGGCTTGGAGTTCATGTTTAGCAAGTAGCTCCCAGTGTTGCTTGATGCGCAGCAAGGATAAAAGTAGTTTCAGTTTCTGTTTCCAAAACACTTCACATTTAAGTTTCATTTCAGACCGAGTACAGAGCAAGCCTTTCTTCTGAGGACAGAGGGCAGCAGAGTTTTGCGAGTTTGTGAACAGGCCGTGCTAGCTCTGCTCTAGATTCTGGGGGCACTGATAAGTTAACTTTTCTTTATTGTTGGCACTATTACAGCTGTCCCCATTCTGCCCCTGCTTTGCCCAACTCCACACCCCCCCCCCCCCCAGCCTTCACCACACTGTTGTCTGTGTCCATGGGCTATGCATATATGTTCTTTGGCTACTCTCTTCACCTTCTTTGACCCAGTCCACCCCCCTTTCCCTCTGACATTTGTTCCATGTATCCATGCCTCTGGCTCTCAGTTAGCTTTTATTTTATTTTTCTCTTATTTCACACCATGCAAAGCACTATGCTCAGCATTGGCACAAATACCATTGACTAAGAAACAGCTCCCACCCCAATAGATGCTCAAACCTTTGTGCAGACCCAGAGGGTGCGTGGGGGGAATGTGTTCGACACTTGTCTCGTGCACCCAGTGAACCCTCACCACAGTCCTTGGTGGGAGGGTTATTACCGGTGTTTTGCAGGTGAGTGTCACAGGGAGCTGGGGTACCTTGCTCAATCCAGCTAGTAAGCAGCACCGGTGAGACTTGAACCCAGCCAGGACTATGTGACTCCAAAACGTGCAGTGTCTCCACCCGCCTCCTCTGGAGTGGCGCGTCCCAGGCCAGGCAGGCACACTCTGGAGCCAGTCAGTGGCAGAGGAACCATCTGGAAACCCTTCCCTCAACGTCTGGTCTCATGAAATCTCCTGGGTCCCAGGGCAGAACCCCAAGCTGAATGGAAGGCTTATTTAACTCTGCCGTGCACTGTGTAAATGGTCTTGAGGGCAGTATACAATCACATGTGGGATTCACATTTTGGTGGTGAGACAGGATTCTTATCATGAGGTGAGGAATTGGGCCTAGATGACCTTTGAAGTTGCTTCTAACCCCAAAAGTCTGAGACTCTAGTAAGTAAGTTCTGACCCTCTGAAGTTTACATTCAAATGGGGGAGATAAGACCAGCAGAACACTTACATGTTTGGAATTCGCACAACAGTTACTTTGTCCCAGATCTGAGAGCCCCGGGTTCCCAGGCTCTCTTGACTTTAATATGCTCTGTTTGGGAGGCAGGTACACCTCCCCTTCCAGGACAGTCTGCTCTACGCAAATTCTCACTGCTCTCCCAACTAGACACATGGAGGGCACCTACATCTATACAGACAATTACAGGAACTTAGAATTGTACCCACAAAATATTAGAACTGAAAAGCCCTTAGGAATCAACTTGTTCTCTTTTTCTTCTCATTATTATATGTAAGAAAACTGAGACCCGTAGGAGAGAGGTCTCTGCCCAAGGTCACACAGCTAATTAATGCCAATATTGGATCAGAACCGCGACATCTCATGTCCCAGCTCTGAGTTCCGCTCACCTGACTCAACTAGACATAGGCCCTTTCCCCCACCCTTTCTTCTGCTTTCTGCTGAATCTAAGACTGCAAGCCCATTTGTTTGTTATCCTTTATCTTCAGAGCATGAGCACATACCCTGCCTCCTGACTCCTCAAATGGTCATTTCCCTCAAAATCCAGCCTTGATTGATCCCATTTCATCCCTGCTTGGTTCCCTCGGCCTGTGTGTGTGTGTGTGTGTGTGTGTGTGTGTGTTTAACATACACACTGCTCCAGGCCAGCCTGTCCAATGAACAGAGAAATGGGGAGATTATAGGTATAATTTCTGACTTGAGATTTGAGGGCTGGAAGAAGCCCAGTCCCTTCCTCACCACCACAAAGAAAAAGAAAAGGAAATGACAGCCCTCTTAAAACAGGGATCCGCTGTCAGCCACTTGTTTCTGTACCAAGGAACTGTGACTCTAGTATAAAAGAACCATGGATTTGCTTGTTTGGAAGGGACCAGAGATAGCATCTTGTGACCCCCTCCTGCCATGTCACTGAGAACCAAGGTGTAGAAGCGACTTACCCGAGTCACACAGAGTGATGGTGGTGGCCTCTAGGCTCTCACCAGTGCTGGTGCCTTATCCTAGGTAGGTCACAGAGTTCCTGATAAGACAGTAGGAATAGAGAAAGGGTCCCCAAAAGCAACAAAGCACAGTTCTGTAAGGAGGCCGTGGGAAATTTTAGATTTTCAGCAGTTCAGAGCTAGAATGAATCTACAGGATCATCTAATCCTGGGACAGCAAGTGAGGTTTCTCTCTCGTTCTTGCCCAAGACCGACCTTGCTAACCAATGCTTGAACCCTTCTCTCTGGGCCCAGGTGTAACTTCAAAATTCCTTTCTTTCTTTCCTTTTTGTTTTTTGTTTTTTTCTTTATTGATTTTTAGACAGAGGGGAAAGGAGAAGGAGAGAATAGAAATATCAATGAGAGAGAACATCGATTGGCCGCCTCTTGCATGCCCCTACCAGGGATTGGGCCCACAACCTGGGCATGTGCCCTGACCAGGAATCGGACTAGCGACTTCTTGGTGCATGAGCCACACCAGCCGGGCCAAAATCCCTTTCATCACAGCTCTAGATAGCCACTACCAAGCTATTGGTGAATGAAACTTTTTTTTTTTTTTTTTTTGCCCTTTCTGCAATAGTCCAGCTTCCTTATTTTACAAGCTGCAGAAACCAAAACCAAGACAGATTTGCAATAACTAGAACTAACACCGTTTTGTAATCTTAGGTATCCGCCCATTTTCAGAATATCACATGACCTTTCACACGTAAGGCTAGCACAAAGCTCAACACAAACAGATGTGTTTTCCTCGGGGGTACTTGGGCTTGGGAATGAAGGAGAGTGGACATGAGTGACAGGGATTGAGGCTTGAGACTGAAAGAGGAGGTGGAGGCTCCGGCTCTGATAATCATCCCCTGGTAATTTACTTAGTTACTTAAGATGGGAGGTGGTAGAGAATGGAGGGACTTGATTTGATTTAAGAAGAGAAACAAGAAACAAAAAATGTGATCCTTAATGTAACAAGAATTTTAGTTACATTGTAAATGTCTCTTCCCAACGGAAAATTTCAAGGTGATTGATCTGGAAAACAATGAGGCTGATGATTCCTAATCTAAATCCATTTCTCCTGCTTCAAGGCTTCAGAGTAGAGAGAAATAAATAACAGACTAGAGGTCCCTGCTGTGTTGGTAATGCCAGACATCCCAGACCCTGAGGTGACCTGTCTAGTAAGTGGCAGAACCAAGACTCAAATTTCTGATGCCACACTAAATGCCACGAAAGCATGGGCATGTCTAAAGAAGAAATGGGTTGCTAATGGTAGAAGAAGAGGCAGGAGGCACAGGGCGCTATTTTGAGTAATCAGAGCGGGGTCTTCAGGCTGCTCCTCTAGAGTTGTGATCTCTGGACTGAGGTCCCTGAGCATGTCAGAAGAACCACTGTTCCAGTTAAGACTACCTCTCAGCATGAGGTCAGCTGGAGAAGGAAGTATTCAGATCACAACATTCTAGAATGGGATGGAAGGGGCTGGTTCTCCTCACTGCCCCTACACTGCACAGTATGTATCATCACAGCTACTTACAACGGGGAACAGTAAGGTTAAGGGAAAGCAGAAGTAGACAGTTATCTTACAAATAAAAAAGAACAGGAGGTTCTGATCAAGACGGCAAAGTAGGTGGACACTGTGCTCACCTCCTCCCATGAACACACCAGCATTACAACTAAATTATAGAATAATCAACCTGGATAATCATCTGAAGACTAGATGAACAGAAGTCCTATAACTAAAGATATAAAGAAGCCTGTTGAGACTGGTAGAAGAGACAGAGATGCAAAGGATGCTAGCCCCCCTCCCACATGTGGTAGTTGAGAATCTGGAGGGATATCTTGGCTGCAGGGTTTCCCCGTGAAGAGCAAGGGGTCTCAGCCTCACGACAAGCTCTCCAGTCTGGACCCCAGTGTTGGGAAGAGGATCCCACAAACATCTGGCTGTGAAAATCAGCAGGGATTCCTCTGTCTGTCCAGGTGAGATGGAAGTCTACTGGAAACCCAGGCTTCCTCTTAAAGAGCCAGTGCCCAGGCTTGCTCACAGGCACTCACCTGGGGTTCTGGAGGAGGGACGGTGGCTGGTGGGGGTGGGGGTGGGGGTGGGGCACAGAGGGAGACATAGAGGGAGAGACTGAGTTGTGTGGCTGCAATGCAAGGGCTGGATGGATGGCTGCCACTGTCCATTCGTGTATTGACTCCTCCTCCCACATGGCTGACTAGAGTCATCTAGTCCTGTTTTGAGCCCTCCCTACACACAGCCAAATATAAACCTGCATTAGCCTGGTGAATTCTATTAGCAACACACTGATGACTCTCTGAGCCCTCGTCCACTGATTTGCCCATGGCTGAGGCTCTTTTGGTGGCAATCAGCCTGGGCCCATGTTAAAGTATTTCTTAAAAAACTCCAGTCAAGCCCTGGCCAGTTTGGCTCAGCGGTCAGCGTCGGCCCATGGACCAGACAGTCCCAGGTTCGGTCCTGCTAAAGGCACGTACCTCGGTTGCAGTTTGTCCCCGGCCCGGTTGGGGTCATGTGGGTGGCAACCAGTCAATGTGTCTCTCTCACATCAATGTTTCTATCTCTTCCTCCCTCCTTCCCTCTCACTCTGTCTGAAGATAAATGCAAAAATGTCCTCCAGTGAGGATTAAAAAAAAAAAACTCCAGTCAAGCTTGATGAATGCCAAACATATAGGCCTCACACCATCCATCTGGGGTGCTAAGATGTGCCTCCATAGACAACCATTAGGCTATTTAGGGGTAGAAAGATCTTCCGTGAGCTTCAAGAAAGCTGAGCCCCAGACAGAAGAGTGACCAATCCCAGGATGCCCAACCCATCATGGCCACCGGCAAATAGAGCCACTGACTCTCATTTGTTTTTGTTTTTTTATCCTCACCCAAGAACATGTTGAGGGGTGGGGGGGAGACATGG